AACGCTGTAGCGTCTCCGCAGTCAAATGGGCAGGTCGAGCGCGTGAATAGGGCCTTGAAGAGTATGTTGGCCAAACTCACTGATCCTATTGATCATGCAGATTGGAAAGAGGGGCTTGTCGACGTCGAATTTGCTATAAATAACACGGTCCACAGTTGCACCAAACAGACTGCCTGTAAATTATTGTTTGGTGTGGAGCAACGGGGTCACGTGGTTGACGAGCTAACCGAGTATCTGCAAGGAAAGTATGTTAGTGAATCCGTAGATCTGACTAGAATCAGGGAGCAGGCGGACGAAGCTATTCAGACGTCACAGAAAAGAACCGAACGATACTTCGACCGCACTCACAAACCGGCCCAACAATTTGAAGTTGGCGAGTTTGTCGTGATCAAGAATGTAGACACTACAGTGGGTAAAAATAAGAAACTTATTCCCAAATATAAAGGACCTTACGTCATCCAGAAACAATTAGGGCACGACCGTTACGTTGTGACCGACATAGAAAATTGGCAGAACACACAGATTCCTTATAGCAGTGTCCTTGACTCGAGCAGACTCCAACGCTGGATGCAGTTCAGCCCGAGTGGCGATGATCCGAGACAGGAAGGAAACCACTATAAGCCCAGACGACGAAGTAACTAATTAATCATGTAATGATGATGAGTGTACCGACTATGAGTATTTGGAAGAGACCGAGGAGCCCCACTAGAGGCAATCGTGGGCGATTATTTTGTCAGGTTAAGGCCGAATTGTAGTACATCTACTGTAACGCCGAACAAGTGGCAACCCAGGCCTCCTCGAAATGGTGGTGGTCGAAAATGAAACTTCAACTGTTTCCGGTGTAATTTGATTATTATTAGATTGACAGAAGTTAATCTTAAAATAAATTTATCATCTGAACCTGATTATACTATCGATATTCTTTACCGATTTTCCGATCTACCAAAGGCTTTGAGAGTGTTATCATATATCATGAGATTCTTTCAAAGAACTCATCCAAAGGCAAAAGCTTAATTTAAAGAGAAGTCTTGCTTAATTTCATCCGATGAAATTAAGACAACGACACAACGCTCAATAAACATCTACCAGAAGCAGCATTACGGTGAAGAATAGACGAAGCTAAAAGCAGGAACATTCATCGATGCGACGAGCGAGCTACTGCCACTTAATCCATTCGTCGACAAAGATGATATCATACGGGCTGGTGGGCGCCTTGGAGCATCCGTGCACTTAGCATACAATGAACGCTATGCAATCATTCTTCCGTACAACAGCAGGTTGACCCGACTACTGGTCGCTTTCATACATCCTTGCATGGAGAAAATCAGCTTATGTTACGCCTCATCCGTACCCAATACTGGATTCCCAGAGTAAAGAACATGATCAGGTCCACTATCCATAATTGTAAGACATGTGTTATCTATAAAAAAACGGTCCCAAGCCCAACTTATGGGCACTCTTCCTCAGGAACGCACTACCTTTCCGCGGACGTTCACGAATACCGGGGTAGATTTTACAGGACCTTTCGATATAAAAAGTTATCGCGGTCGGGGCCGTCGAATTTCTAAAGGATACGTCTGTCTCTTTGTCTGTTTTACGACTAAAGCAATTCATCTAGAAGCCACTAGTGACCTTAGCACACCATCTTTTCTGGCAGCATTTGCTAGATTCGTTGCCAGAAGATGATGTCGAAAGAATATCCACTCCGACAGCGGTACTAACTTTGTCGGAGCCTCTCGATCTTTACGATCTAAAATGAAGGCCTTTATAGCTGACGCACGAGACAAAACCGTATCTAAATACAATCATCATATGCTCACTTGGCATTTTATACCCCTGCAGCTTCTCACATGGGCGAGCTGTGGGAGGCGGGTGTAAAAAGCTTTAAGAGTCACTTTATAAAGATCGCATCCGTGCACAAATACACATTCGAAGAGCTCAGTACTCTTCTATGCCGAATCGAGGCATGTCTCACACCCATTAAGCCCTTCATCCAATGAGCCCACAAACCTGGAGCCACTCACCCCAGGCCATTTCCTATTTGGGGGACACCTTCTTGCATCAATCCTTCTGCAGGCGATGGAAACTTGAATATCTCTCAGAACTGCAAAAGCGTATCAAGTGGAAACATCCCAAGCAAAATATGAAAAGTGGAGATCTCGTCGTTATAAAAGGGGATAACCTACCACCGAATGAATGGAGACTCGGAAGAGTCGTAAAATTACACCCAGGATTGGATACTCGGGTACGAGTGGTGGACATCATGACCGAAATAGGTCTGGTAACCAGACCACTGGTAAAATTGGTCCTACTACCACCCTGTAGTGAATCAAACGAGGAACCAACAAAGTCTTCGTAAATAAATTCTCTGTATTGCATCTTCAACAAGAAAGCAACCAGGTATTCCACTTCATAGGTACCTAGAAGATTCCACGACTAAAGCCGCAAATATCAAATTTTATCAGTCAACTTTACTTACATTAGATATAAAACTCTTAGGGCCTTATTCTGTATCACGAACGATAGGCAAAACGAACGATTCGTCTGCAGACGACAACCTCTCAGATTGCGATTTTAAACTCTATCGGTCGGCTTCGTCTTGCTTTTCATACATTACGTTGCAATGGTCTCGGTTGCATTTAAACCGGCTAAAATGATGCCGCCGGACAAATTTTTGAAAAATTCCTCTGCAGACAAATCGTTCGTATTGCCTATCGTTCGTTACACAGAATAAGGCTGTTAGTTGTGTTAAGCGGAAGTATATCAAAGGAGAGAATACTCATTTTTGCATAGAAAAATGTCTTAAAAATCTTTTCCGAAAACGCATATGGAATATATCTGTGCTCGATCATATTAATAAAACCATAAGATTCCGTCGCAGAATCAATAAGATACCCATAACCAGAGCTGGGCATTATTCGAACAAATTTCAGCCGTAATAATAATAATTCGCAAATAATCCATTAACGAATGAATTATTCATCAATAAATTCCTTATGAATAAATTATTCGTGATTTGTTTTCAATTTGAAATAATGTTTTAAAACAGATTTGTTTTTTTCTATAATCACTGATAGGTACTTGAATCCTTTTACTTTATCACGAATATTTATTTCATTTCCATTATTCAAATAACGAATAAAATAATTTATCCGCCATTCGAATAATTCTTCTCTGGACAAACTAAATTATTTCTTATTTACGAATAACGATAAATTTTCCCAGCTCTGCACATAAAATACATATGACGGCGAGGTCATTTATCGTAACTGAGATATAAAAAACAAACTGAATGAATTGTCATGGTTTTTTTTCGCAGTACAATAAGAGTCATCTCTAACGCTTATACGAATAAACGGGTACCGACTCAATAAAAACTTGTATAACAAAGTGATAGTTCTCAGCCCGAGTTCACCCGGGCGACCTGGGAATATAGAACCGACCATGTGAGATCTATGCAAATAATAACCAAATAATAAGGGGGCTATTCTGCCCAAAAGGAAAGAATTTATGTACCTGATTCCCCAATAACTGACATTTCAAAACACGAACGCCAACTACACCAACGGAAACTTACTTTCTCCAACATTTCCTTTTTTTCAAATTCGCAATGTTCCCTGTAGTCAAATGAACTAGTTGTAAACTACCCTATAACTAGTATGAATCGCATGCCCAACTAGTCAGCCAACTATCTTTTTTCCATGCAATCAACTGGTATTTTTAACATGGGGATGTCCTACGAAATGGCAATTGTCAGATTTCGGTCAGAAATATACCAGTCTCATACTAGTTCAGAATAGACAAAAAAATACTAGTCTAATTATGGACCAAAACCACTAATTTGGGAGTCAAAAAATAAAATGAATTCATGAATATACAATAAAAAACATTTAACCCAGATGTGCCTAGCGTACTATACATAGTACACTTGTAAAAGTATTTTTCGCAGCAACCCGTCAATTCAAATGCACGTGTTTGATTTCAAATTCCAATGCCATGGTAACGAGTGAGCTTCACTTTTATTCATTTCAAATTTTACATTCGTAGTTCGGTCATTGTGTGTTTACAAAGTTGTGGAAAAGTGAAAAATGAGTTACTCCGATATAAGATTTGTAAGGTAAGTACAAATTATGTTTTATAGAAATTTTTTTTAGGTCTACTACTAAAATCTACTAAGGCAGAAGATATAGTTTTATGTTATTTATCAAAGCTTTGTCATTATTTTACTTTTAGTTCAACTTTTATCGCCATATTCATAGGTGTACTACATGTAGTACACCAGGCACATGCACAACCATTTCATTCCTAATTTATAATTTGGCTGTAGAGAGTGTATTTTTGAAATCATATATTAAATTTAATGGAAGGATTTTATAATGGGAAAATTATAGTAATATATGCGCGAATGACATTTTGATTTCAGAGGCTTTTCGCTAAATGAGGCTCTACGTATGTTAGAAGATGACGACGAAATTTTAGAAAATGCTACTGGGATAACAATATTTCCCCCTGAGAACGAAGAAGTAACCGATGAAGATTCTGGTGACGAAAATGTAGTTGACATAAACGATTTGCCAGGGTTGCAACTTCGTGCACCTGCCGAAATTAATTTGAATCGGCGCGTTGACGACAGTGACTTTTCGTCCGATGATGATCTGCCGATAGCTCAATTGATCCCTGAAAAGCCTGCAGACAAAAACTTAAGTGCGAAGAAACAAAAAAGGTATAACTGGAAAGAAGACTTACCCACCACCAATTATTTCTGACATGGCTGCTGATCCAATTGATCTAAGAGTGAATGAAAATATGAAAAGTCCGTTGGATTTTTTTGAGTGCTTTTTTGACGAAGAGCTTATAGATATAATAGTCGAAGAAACTAATAGATACGCTGCTCAAAAAAATCGATCACAAAGAGTGAATAAGACAGAAATAAAAGCATTTTTAGGGGTGTTGATCCTGAGTGGATATGTTTGCGTCCCGAGGAGAATAATGTTTTGGGAAAGAGAAAACGACAGCCATAACGTACTTGTTGCAGAATGTATAACACGCGATAAATTTGAATTTATATTGTCAAATATTCATGTCAAAAACAATGAAGATCTAGATATCGCGGACCGATTTTCGAAAGTAAGACCTTTATTTGACCACCTCAATAGAAAGTTTATGGAAAATAATCAGATGGAGGAAATGCACTGCGTTGATGAGGCTATGGTTCCCTATTTCGGAAGGCATGGATGCAAGCAGTTTCTACGAGGAAAGCCAATAAGATATGGGTATAAGCTTTGGGTAGGATCAACCAGGCTAGGGTTCGTAAATTGGTTTGAGCCTTATCAAGGAGCATCAACAAACATAAGTGTGACATACAGCAACTATGGCGTAGGTGTTGCCGTTGTTCTAGAATACGCTGAGACGCTGCGCAAGAAATGGCGTGATGAAAAAATGCACATATTCTTCGACAATTTTTTTACTACTATTCCACTTATGGAGAAACTTACAGACATGGGTTTTCAAGCAACAGGTACGATAAGAGAAAATCGTGTATCCGGCAATCCATTACTCGACTCGAAAGTACTAAAAAAGCAAGACCGTGGGTCTTTTGACTTCGCTAAAATAACTGACCATAATATCATTGTCGTCAAATGGAACGACAACAACTTAGTATGCTTATGTTCAAATAATTCTGGAGTCAACCCGATATGTAATGTAAGAAGATTTTCGCGAAAAGAGGGAAAACATATTCAGGTAAACAGTAAGCTAATATGAAACACATACTGTGTCATCTAAATGCACGTAATTTTATTTTTTACAGATTCAGCAGCCTCATTTAGTTCGCTTATACAACGCAAATATGGGGGGTGTAGATCGATCAGACCAGAATATTGGCCTTTACAGAACATCTATCAGAGGAAAGAAATGGTATTTTCCACTTATAACCCACTGCGTCGATTTGGCAATACAAAACGCATGGCATCTTCATCGAAACAATGGGGGTGTCCTTGATCTGTTGAAGTTTAAAAGACGAATTGCAACGGTTTTGTTGACGCAAAATAGAAAACCACCATCAACATCTAGGGGACGACCATCGGCATTGGTAAATATTGATATCAGGTACGATCGCCTTGACCATTTGATCATAATACAACCTAAGCAAACAAGATGTGGGGAATGTCATGATCGAACAACCACTAGATGCCGAAAGTGTGACGTTGGACTTCATGCAAAATGTTTTGTCGCATATCACACAAAGTGAACTTATGTACATATATGTGCCTAGTGTACTATACATAGTACACCTTTTTTTCCCAAAACTGAAATAAATAAAAAATTAATTTTGACTAAGAATGTTTTACTTAACAATAAAAACTAGAAAACAGATCGAAAATTTAAGTTTTTTTAATTGTCTTAGCTTTAGGCATATCTGGGTTAAGTACACTTTTTTATTTTACATATTTTTATTTAGCAGCCTTAGATTTGCCAATAATTATTGTTAATTTTTTTGAGTATTAATTAAAAGAAAAAATAAATACATAGATATTTCAATTTCCAACATCCAATACTCCTCATTTTCAGAATATCAACGAATTTACTAAACTCAGTAAATTCAACAGACGACTTCTCGGTAACAAATAAAGATTTTTTAAAGCTTTAAAATGAATTTTGAAGGGGAGGAGTAGTGCAGCTCAAATGTGCTTAAAAACCGAAATTTTTGTACTTTAAGGTTAGAATATCCCGAAAACCTGACGTGATCTGGGGTCAGATTCGAATTCAGCACGTCAAAGACCTTCGGAAAATTATAGTCCGATTCTTGGTTAAAAAACCTTGTTGGCCTGTGTAATTCAAGCAGTTATTAAATATTCTTAATTTTTGTCCATAGTTTGGCTTATTGATTGATAATAGAAATTAGTCAAATAATTATATTAATCGTGAAATAAACAAAATAAGAAATAATTGAAAATGATCAAAAATAACAAAATAACAGGTCTGGTATAATTGAATACGTACTCAATTTAACGGTTTACGATATACCAAAAAAAAAGTTATATTATTTTGTGTACTTTATTGTATTAAACTGTCGAAGTCAAATAATACAGGGTATGAATAAATCGTTTGTACTTGGTACAACTCTGGTCATTTTCGAACTAGTTCGGTTTCTGTAAAGAAATTCTAGTTGTAAACTAGTATTTTTCCTGACTAGTTTGGGATTTCACTGCAGGGTTATAGCAATTTTGTTTATGCAAGCGTCCTGAACCACAGCGAACTGAGTCAAATCAAAGTAAATTATGGTACTCACGGTATCCGGAAGAAATTACCAGCCAAACATAATGAAGGTTTCCATTACAAAGAAATCCGCTGCAGGACGGTGCACAGTGGTTCGGATCGCAAATCTAGCTGGACGAAACTATTTAAACAAATACTCGTTGATGGATCTTTACACCACTTCTTACCTAGGGGATTTTTGGGTCGCTGATTACGAATCTGAAGTCACTTATCAAAAATTCAAAATGGCGGATCCAATATGGCGGACGAAAATAAAAAAAAAATCGGTAGATTTCTATGAAACTGGGTATCTGGGGGTTTTCTGGGTCGCTGATTACATATCTAAAGTCATTTACCAAAAATTCAAAATGGCGGATCCAACATGGCGGACGTAAATTTAAAAAAATCGGTAGATTTCTATGTAACTGGGTATCTGGGGGTTTCTGGGTTGCTGATTACGAATCTAAAGTCATTTACTTAATTTACTTTATTTGCTTCGGAACGAGCATTTTCATCAGATATTTCTTTCAATTTACTAATCACATAATCACGGACACCTTGTTGTCTTTCAGCAACACTTCTCCAAATGTCAAACAACTCACTATGACTAAAATTTAAGATCACAGCAAGAAACACAAATAAATTTCAGAAAAAATTTTATAACAGCGCTTAAAGATTTACATGCCTGTTGTATAATTTTTTAATTTCAGAAAGCAGAAAATTCGCGAGTTACTATTTTTTTTTAACTCTTACATAACCAAAGTTTTTATAACTCCAAGTATTTTTCTGTTTTAACACACAAGAAATAAATGAATCTATAGCGGAATAAGTGTATAGCGGAATAAGTGTATTTGTTTGTTTATAAACTCAATTTGCAATTATGCAAATATCTGTGAGTGCAATTAGCAATCTTTTAAGGTAAATTTCAGCTTTTAAAATAGAGTTCTCACCTTTTTGTTTGTTTTCATATGTTAATGCTTTAATAAATGCAATTTCTATTTGAATGTATTGTCAGGAATGTATTCCAAGTACCATTAAGTATTTTAAAAACAAAAAAATCTTGACTTTCGTCCAGCTAGATCTGCTATCTGAACCACTGTGCGGTGGCTTCTAACCAGCTTTTGCACTCCCAACAAAGCACTTTCATATCAATAATAGAGGCTGTTAGGAAAACCGAAAGCATTAGGGAAACGTAACAAATAAAAATAGGTAAAATAAAAACAAGGAATACAAATACTAAACCCCTTCTAATCCCATCGCCGTTTTGCTGCAGTAAATTATCCGGAGGGGAGATATAACGGGTGATTTTTTAAGAGCTTGATAACTTTTTTTAAAAAAAAAAACGCNCAATGATTTGCAAGCGTTGCTCGTTAGTAAGTCTATTCATGATGAAATTTCAAAGCATACTGAGCATCTTTCTCTTTGACACCATGTCTGAAATCCCACGTGATCTGTCAAATACTAATGCATGAAAATCCTAACCTCAAAAAAATCACCCGTTATTTCATCGAAAAATCATGCGTACCTCTATTACTTATGTGGTCGGTATTACGATCAACTTTGACTACTAAAGCATATGACGGTTCCTTAACGTCATCGCTGTGGTGCTGGAGGTATGTTGATGTTGTTTATAGCTGGTGGTTGGCACGCATCGGCCGAGCGAGAGTCGCTGGTATCTGACTTGCTGAATTTCGGACCGCTACCAGCAGTTAGTTTTTCCTGTTATCCAATCGAATTTAAATTGTCTTCAAGTTACGTTGAATTGCATTTTATTCAGTCTGAATTATGGGAAACATATATCATTAACGGGGCATTTAAATAGGAACTTCACTTGGTTTTGATGACATATCGAGCTCTAACCGCGAAAAAAACTTAACCGCCAAAAAGCAAATTTTAAAGGAGAGAAGTTTTTTTGTTTTTGTTTTCTTAATCCGTTTGGAAAATATCTTTGAAATTCTAAATGTAGTCTAGGCCCGGTTCAATACAAGTCATAGACTAATTTCTATCTTCATTTAACTTAATTTGTAGGCGAAATTATTGAATTTGGCGCTTACGTTAATTTCGCTGTCACCGTGGCAGGCTACTAGGCAAAAATTTAGCGCTTACGTTAATAGAATTTCCCAAAAAAACTTTGAAAAAACGTATTTTATTTTCTTTTTTGTACACATTGACATATATAAAAACATAAATAAATGCAAGGCGAATCAATATAAGGTGATAGCAGGAGTACAAAAACAAAAATTTACATGTATTTTGTTTTTGCTTTGGCGGCATAAACTGTCAAAATCTGTAAGTGTGTGTAGAAATTCAAACAAAATTTTTCAATTTGATATCAGAAGCCGTGCGGCGAAACACATACAGAAAATCAGCTGAGCTAGTAACACCACCTTATATAAATTCGACTTGAATAAATGTATAAAAATATATATTTACAGTCAGTATTTACAGGTCACTACTAACTTCCATGTCGCTTACATTATTTTTGCGGTAACTCAAAACAGCAGATGTCGCTTACGATAAAATTGAAAGTCGTATATCTCTGTGACTATGTCGATTGACGATAAAATTTTTTAACAGTTGACCTGTTATGGGTTTAAGAACAATTCTACATCAAAAAACTAATTTCGAAAAATATATCGCTTACGTTAATTTCGCGGTTAGTGCTCGATATGTACATATATGTATGGATATTTAACTTCATTTATCCCATTGCCATCACTTCGTTGAAATTTTCATTCTATATAAAACACTGCTTCACTTCAAATACCTATGGACACAATAACATAATTCACATTCGATGATTAATTGGTCGACAAAATTAACAGCAAATCTCCCATATTTACATACAACTTCAAATAAAATTATCGCCCGCAGTGTAAAAGCAGCCGTAGAATGGAGTTGCAGTAGTTTTCGTGGCTACACGTTTCGTCAGGGCTTTTCTGCTGCATTCATCAAAGCAATTCCAATATACAAATTATCCACGTATTGGTGGAAAATTTGCGTTCGCGTTTGATTAAAAGCACTCGATTGGATCAAAAGCTTCCCTAGTTTCGCGAGCTGAAAAGAAAAGGAATGAATGGAAATTCAATAGCAATTGTTAATGAAAATTGTACAATTAACTTACAACTTCAGTTTTTACGCCACTTGCGGCCTCGTGGTTAATAATGAATGACATTTTTATTCATTCAGGAAGTTACACGCTTGTCTGAATTTTGACTTACGTGATTTGCCCAAAGGTTGACATACGGAATGTAACCAAATACAAGCCTTCCTTACATATTACTAAGAGCGCCATCTATCTCTAGAGCTTGCGGTTAGCGGGTAAATTCGCACTGCTCTGTTGAGCAATGAAACTCACCACACAACCAAACCATTAGTTACGATATTAGAATGCAAACTGTATGTTCGAGCACCAGTCGCTTGGGCATTTAAACCAATTCTTAAAGATCTGTTCGATGGCAAGAGCTGTGAAAATTTTCTATGTGTGTATATTTATACATACATACATACACTATCAATTCTTTTTTTTTGCAAATAACCTTAATGATATTCAATTTTTTTGTGGGTGGAGGCGCATGGCAATAAATATTTTCACGAATGTACATACACAGGTACTTATTACAAAAAAAAACTAAACCTTTTGATAGACAAAAGTCAAACACTTATAAGTTGAGATCAATATACCCGAAATTTTTTAACTTAATTTTTTCTGTGTGGGTTGTAATGCCGTAAGCGAAACCTTTATGCCACTCACTTAAATAACTAATGCCGACACGCTCGCCACCCACATGGGTACATATACAAACAAAACCATGACATAATTTCAGAAGGAAACATGCCTTATTTCACTACCTTGAGGAAAAAGACCGACCTACGCACCCACCGTTATCCGCAGCTGTGCCACCTATGTGAAGCGAGTCACCCTATTAGGCTCTGCCCATCTATCGCGCAAAACCCCCTGAGGAGAGATTACGGGAAGCACTACTGGGCCGCTTTTG